TTTTCTGAAAATGATCATTTAATTTACCCATATATCAACAGGTGTCCAAGTGGTCAACTAAGAGGGCGAAAATGGTACCATTGGGAAAGGATTCTTTTAGTTATGAATTCCAATTTTCATTGCTTGTTTAAAAAAAATATCAATGTAAAGTATGCTTTTTATCATGTTTATTGGGATTAACCACAAAATCCATGGAAATTGATAACCTAATGCTAAAACTGCTACCAAAGTAAAATCCTAGGGTTAGGGATCAATTCTTAGGTTGAGGGGAAATCTTATCTTAATCACAACATATAACTTCACATGCTGAAAAATTAGGCCATGATACACCATTAATGACATTAAATGTTGTTATTGATGCTAATTTTACCAGCTTCAAACATTATAAGTTTTATCTATCAATTTCATGAAAACAGGAACTGACACATTTCTTACCAATATCTTAAAGCTTCATTTTGTCTTTCAAAAATTCAGCTAAAATAACAAAGAAAAATATCTCCTTGTACTGGTTGCTGTCAATAAGGAGAGCAAAAGGCACCATGGTGAAGTAGTAACAGAAAACATTAGAGTCTGTCAAAAAAAAAGTGGTCAGTATCACTATGTGATTACTTGGAACATTATCAATTTGGTGGTTCTCCAAAGGATGATGAAGTCAATGTTAAAGGAATACTGAATAAATTTTTAATTTCATATTAACCACAAGCAATGTATTGTCAGTAAGGGTAACAAAATAGCTATTTCCTATTTGTCGTACTTGAAAACAAGAGTTTTTAACTTTTTATTCTGAATTTAATTCAATTAAATGTCTACAAGTCATAAAGATTCAGACAGACCCTTATGTAAATATTGTTAAATCTTCAGTCTGCTTCTCCTCTGAAAGAAAAAACTTAGCAAAAAGCAGAAAATGAAAAAAGACAGGAATAATATTTTTATCTAACAATATGCTAGTACATCTGTTGTTGAAAGTATCTTAAATGGCTATCTGGATGACTATCCTGCTTCAATCAAAATCACTGAAACTTAATGTCAAAATCCTTATATTGGACCCTACTTCAACTTGAAACACAAAAGTAATTCAAAACCCATCTAAAAACAAATACTGCTCAAAATTTTCTACAATGGTCATTACCTGAAGTCATCTGTGTACGATGTGTATCCAATATGTGTGTATATTGTATGAATGGAATCAGATAAACACTATCTAAAAGATAATACAGAACTACGTCAAACCCAAATATTTTATTATCTAATTACAAAGATAAGTGTTTTAAATTACGTATGACATTCAGTTCTAATTGTACGAAGTGCATCATGATCGATAAAAATGAGGTTGATTATTAGAATTCAGATCATACACTTACATGAAAAAGTAGTTTTATAGAGGTAATGCCATTGTTAGTATTGGCTGTTAATTGGATTCTGTATTAATCCCAGATGAGGCCATTCGTGACAACACTTAGTGACATAACTTGTAAAAGAAACATTTCATCTTTAAACATCTTTAACACTAAACAGTGGTTTTAATTAAATCAGAAATTTTCCAAAATTATATCATATGGTCCAACATTGTTGGATGTTGAAATATATATGTTGTTGAACTTTGTTTGGCACTCGATGTTTACGTTGGTTATTCAAATAAAGATCAACTTTCAATTAGCCAAGCCAATATATATTGGTTATGAATTATTATTGAAATGTTGAGTACTATGGATTCAGTATTATTTGTTGGACACCAATTTTCTTGGGTACAGGTGAACCACGAATTCAAATGTTCAACGAATTACAAATTTTCTATAGGCTTTGTACACAGAAATTGGCAAAACCACGAAATCAAATATCCACGAAAATGCAAGTTTTCCTCGATCCACGACAATTGATACCCACGAAAATAAATGTATCCACAGTATACACCAATGAGACAGCAACCTAATGGCAAAAATAACCAGACATCTAGAGGGCAAGCTAACTTCATTTTGTGAAATGTTATTCCAATTTTTTTAACCCTTTTAATTTATTGGTGGATGGATGTGTGATTGATGTTCAGTGGCTAATATTACATTCACTTGTTATTGTGACAAGTAGATTAATTTATAGAAGTTGAAAAACCATTCAAGTAAAAAAAAAAAGGTGCTGCTTTGCTTCAACTGCTTATTTTATACTCATCTCTCTGTATGAAACTTTCCAAGTTCAAAGGTCACATGAAGGTTTGGCCAAACGAATATTCCCCAACCAATTATGACCAAGACGATTTTCATGATAAATGAGCATTAAAGTGAAATTCTATTTATACTGATGCAAGTTTCCATAAAATATGCTTTATTGTAACTTTCCAGATGATATATACTGTTAAGAAACAAATTGTTACCTTATTCAGTAAGAAATGTTGATATGGTTTCCAATGGTCATATCATTTCGGATGGGAAAGGTGGTATTTGCCCACTAATATTTCTAAATAAAGACAGTTTCTTACATTGAAATAGGTCACTTTTTGAGCCAACAAATTGTGGTAAAAAACCTGAACAACAGTTAAAATACTGTGTCTAATTACTATACATATATCATATTCCTAATATTAATATTTATCATACAAGGGGTGCTGACATCAGAGAAGAAAAATGCCATTTTCATGAATTAACGGCTATTATTAGTTCAAAAGTATGTCAACTAAATATATCACTGGTTTGTTTGGTTGTTTTTTTGAAGATTGGATTTTAAATCTCAGCTAAATATCTGCAAAGAGGACTTACAAAAAAATTTCATTCATTTTTGAAGGCCCATGTACAGATCCATCGGTTGTTACTAGGTAAAATGTATAACAACCAAAACAAAATGCATATGCCTTAAGTAAAATTTTCATTCTAAAATAAGTTCAGGAGTGACTGGATTGAAGGATGACAGCACAGATAATTGACACTAAGTGAAGACATTGGCTTACAAAAACCTTTAGTGCCAAGTATTCTTAAAACCTACTACAACAGTCAAAACTATCAGAGGATTAACCTTTTTTAAACCACAATACAAGTACCGGAGTACATACCCTTTGTTTTCTATAAATAAATAGTTTTATCTTGTCTCTAGTATTAGTTCCAACAATTAATTTCCATTAAAGATCAGTTAATATATACCAATCACTCAACTGTACTGAGAACAGGTATGTACACTTTGGAATCCAATAGCTGAGAGCAGCTGGACTTTTAATATAAATTTCGGTCAAGTCCGGAATATATGACCGTTTTGGAAGCCATGCTTTGGATGCATGTTTTGAAATGAGTACTTTTAGCTTAAAAATATCTAACTGCTCTGGTTTACTTTTAAAAGGGTAAAGCTGAGAAAAATTAAGGTGTGAATACATACACCTGCCTTTAAGTTAATGTCATTTAAGTGTCAATACCTTACTTTGTATGACAAAACCAGTTATATATTCGTCAAATAAATAGTGATGATAAATTTTGATTTTTCAATATTTTCATTGTAACAATTTATACTTTAAACAAATGACACTTAAAATTGCTCTTTGGAACAATTCTTGAACTTACAAATGAGACATAAGGTTTATCAGATCAGCCATTCTGATGAATTATATAAGCTGCCACTGGCATTTTTTTCAGTGAACTGCTAATGGAACAAACCTTTTCAATAACAAAATTATACCCATGTAAAGATGATAGAAGTCAGAATAAACAAAAAAGAAGATATGGTATGATTGCAAATCAGACAACTCTCCACCAGAGACCAAATGACGTAGAAGTTAGCAACAAAATGTCATCATAGGGCCTTCAACAATGAGCAAAACCCATACTGCATAGCAAGCTATAAAAGGCCCCAAAATGACAAATATAAAACAATTCAAATGAGAAAACCAATGGCCTGATTTATGTACAAAACAACCGACAACCACTGAATTACAGGTTCCTGACTTGGGAAAGGCACATACAAAATGTGGAGGGGTTAAACATGTTAGCAGGCTCTCAACCCTCACCTAAACCTGGGACTGACTAGTACAACAGAACAACAAAAGAACAAACTGTATAAAACAGTAAATGAAAAACAAATATGATAAACAGCAACAAACAACAACCACTAAATTACAGGCTCCTGACTTTGGATAGGCACATATATATGGCAGGGTAAAACATGTTAGCCAGCACCCTTCCCTCCCCCTAACCAACATGTTTCAAGCCTAGATCATAGGAAGCTGAATGAAACTTTGTTTATTGCTTGATTGCAAGTAGAATCCCACAAACTTCCACGATATCAAAAATATATATAATAAATGGGGAATGTGTCCATGGGATACAGATGATGCCCCCTCTTGCATATAATATTATAAAGGGATATAACTCAAGAACTGTAAAAGTGACGCTACCCAAATTTGTACTTGATCTGATTTTTGTGGTAATAAGCATTGTGAATACATTACATAACATTTGGTTGAGGCAAATTCAAGTAAGAGAACAGAAACGAAAAATTCAGCAATTTTTCCATTTATAAAGGGGCATAACTCTAGAACGGTAAAAGTGACGCCACCAAAATTCAAACTCGATCTGTGTTTTGTGGTAATAAGCATTGTGTATAAGTTTCATAACATTTGGTTGAGGCAAACTAAAGTTAGAGAATGGAAACCAATTTTGGGACGTACATACGGACGTACAGACGGACAAGGGTAAAACTTAATGCCCCCTCCGCTACGGCAGAGGCATAAAAACAAGAATATTTGTCCACTGGACAACATGTACTGCTCACACGATTACCATTTCTGTGTGCAGTGAACCATCAATTCTGGGTCAACATCCTAATTTGGTTAACATTTAAGCAATTTCACATCATAAATGAACATGAGTATTAAGTTTCAAGTTGGTGTGACCACATCTACATGATAAACTACCTTAAACAAACACATTCACTAAATAATGGACTGACCAACAGATGAAATGATGGATGCAAAAACCAGAGAAAACAATATCACAATATTTTCTTTAAATTGTACATTATATACATACCAAGCATTCTCACATATATAGCCGTTTCATCTTGCTTATCATATGATATACCTCCTCGCCTCTGAAATAGAAAAAAAAAAGTTAACTATCGTTAAAGAAAACTCAGTGAATAAGCTTAAAAGTGTGTCTGGTGTACAACATTTTAAGCCTGGTATGATGAGTTTATTTACTGACATAAAAAATTGATAGCTTCATATAATCTGGATTAAACAGAAACTTATTTCATTTAATTCAGGGTCAAATGGTGTTCTAACTCAAGGTTAGAATGCTGAGCTAAAGGAATAAAAACTTTCAAGATGTAATTTGTGCACAACACACCTATTTGTGATGACTATTAGTCACAAACAGCTTAAATCAACTAATTTCTATGAGAAGTGTGAAATTTCATGAAAAAAAATTCAGAAATCTTGTGCATTGCTCTATACTATGGTGTCTGGCTAGTAGTCACTACAACATTTAATGATGATGGGGTCTGAAAGTTATGCCAGTCCTAAAGTTCTTAACAATCAATCAACTCATTATTTTGATATTAAGAACATCAAAACTTGAGTACATGATAATTTTTCCAATTAATTTTAATGATCTTTAAAATTTTGAACATTCATACACCTGAAATCCAAACATAATCTTTAATAATTATGGACCAGAGGGTATTGAATATCTTCCAAAGTTTTACTTCTTAAGGACCCATCTAAAAACTTAAGCTAACATAAATATTTTTGATTACAATAAATCCGTCATTATGGAAATTTACAAAGCAATACTAAACATTTATTGAAATTGTATACAGTTATTAAGCAAATGTTTGAACAGGTCTCAACTTATAATTAAGATTGAAAACTCAGTGGAATCACATATTGGTAAAATCAGATATTTTCCCCATTAATTCATACTTTTGTGATTACATCAGAATACTAAGGAAATCAGATGCCAAAATGTATTGAAGAGTTGAATATAAAGTAATCTTGTGAACTGCTGACCGTATGAGACCCATAAAATCTTTGCAGACTGGCTTCCAGTTTTCTCTTTTAAGGCCGGTACACACGATAAGATTTGTATTTTAAGATTTGAATTATAAATTTTGTTCTTCTTAAAAGACGCTCTTGTTCACATGTAAAGATTAATCTTATAAGAACTTAAAAAATTAATAATATCCCTCATGCTTTTTCCCCTGCCAAATGGTACCAACAATGGAAATTGTATGGGTTGTAGCAGTGTCTGGTAATGGTATCAACAATGGAATTGTATGGGTTGTAGCAGTGTCTGGTAATGGTATCAACAATGGAAATTGTATGGGTTGTAGCAGTGTCTGGTAATGGTATCAACAATGGAAATTGTATGGGTTGTAGTAGTGTCTGGTAATGGTATCAACAATGGAAATTGTATGGGTTGTAGCAGTGTCTGGTAATGGTATCAACAATGGAAATTGTATGAGTTGTAGTAGTGTCTGGTAATGGTACCAACAATGGAAATTGTATGGGTTGTAGCAGTGTCTGGTAATGGTATCAACAATGGAAATTGTATAGGTTGTAGTAGTGTCTAGTAATGGTACCAACAATGGAAATTGTATGGGTTGTAGTAGTGTCTGGTAATGGTATCAACAATGGAAAATTGGAAATTGTATGGGTTGTAGCAGTGTCTGGTAATGGTATCAATAATGGAAAATTGGAAATTGTATGGGTTGTAGTAGTGTCTGGTAATGGTATCAACAATGGAAATTGTATTGGTTGTAGCTGTGTCTGGTAATGGTATCAACAATGGAAATTGTATTGGTTGTAGCAGTGTCTGGTATTCTAATATGTACTGCAAAGAAGTTATTTATAAAAAAGAAAATTTAAAGAAATGTTGGACAAGGCCTTGGATTAGATGGAGACATATATTTGATGTACATTATTCATTATTGGATGAGTTGGGTTTTCAGTTCCTGGTGTAGATACCTCCAGAAAGGCACTTTGAACACATAAAATCTAAAAAGCCTGTGCATTTGTATGGTAAACATGATTACAAACTGAGACCCAGAATGGTCACAGAATGGAACATTTTGGTTAGACTAATATAAAAGATCAGCTAAAATTTGCATGAAGCATGGAAAATTGCTCTATTCTTAATACAATCTTCAAGATTCTATAAGTCTTATAATACACTGTATTTAATAATACACACATAATCAGATTTATATTAATATTCAAGTCTTATAATACAAATCTTATTGCATGTACCATCCTTTACTGTTTCTATGATTACAAATTTATTGTATGCTCCCAGCCTTTTTTTTAGTGTACATGAACCAATTTCTTGCACTTGCACTGTAAAGTCTATACAAACTGGTCTCATGTTTTAAGCAGTCTTATTAATTGTATATTTGGACCTCTGTATGTCTATGTATACATAAACTATGATGAACACATTACAAATCCTATTATATATGGCCATCCTTACATACTAAGTTTTAAAACACTACTTGTAGACCTAAAATTGACGTCAAATTCATTGTCAAACTACATGGATAGTGACTGCAACAAGCTAAATAATAAGGTTATCAATATAAATAATAATGATAAAATATCTAATAAACTTGTCAATAAAGTAAATGTCCTTCAGATTATATATCCCTCAGAGAAATTGTGTGAAACTAGAAACTTAAAAAAAAAAAAAAAGAAATTGACCAGCATTTACATGGAGATGGTCAGTACAATTTCATTCTATTTAGATTTCTTTTTTAAATAACAAGAGATTGTTGTTTAATTGATGTCCAGTAGCAAATATCTCATGCACATTCAGGACAAAATTTGTATTCAAAAATAGTTTTAAAACAAAATTACTCAGGTGTCAGTCTGGTAGATCAAAGTCAACAGAATCAAGCTGTTTCACACTGACAGCAATTTGTATTTTTAAGCAGTAATAATTTTTCAAATAGCTTATGATAAAATTTAAACTGAACTCACAAGTGGCTTAAGGTTCTGGAGTCAGTTTCACAAAAAAAATTACGACTAAGATTGATCGTAAGTCATGAACAATTCAGTATACTTACGATCAATCTTAGTCGTATGTTTTTTTGTGAAACCAACTCCTGACATTTTGCAATAAAACATCATGAAGGTCACAGTCTGATATGGCATCTTGCTCACACAGGTCTCAGGTCAATAAGCAAAACTGCCATTGCCTTCAAGCATTCACACTTCTCATAATGTATATTACTTACCATTTCTCACTCTGAAATGGTGTGAAAACTCCTTAACCCCATCAAGCATTATTATATATTATTTAAAATTCTCATATCAAATTAGTCATGTTACCAGGTTAATTTCTGTAGATTATTATTTTCAATAAACTAATTTTGAATATGTGTGGCATTAAATCAAATAAAACTTTTCTTCAAATTTTCAACCATATATATGTGATACATACATGTTTTGCAAAAGTCATTAGGTCAACTCACACAAATATGAGGCCCGCCATAGTAAAGTCTCTAAATTCATTGGTGTATACAATACTGATTTAATTATAAGTCTTTTTATCCTCCAGAGTATAGAAATATAAAATTCTTCCAATAATTTGATATCAAAGGGAGATAATTGGTACATAAATGGGGAATGTGTCCATGGGACACAGATGATGCCCCCACTTGCATATCATATAAAGTTATAAAGGCATTTACCTGAAGAACGGTAAAAGTGACACTACCCAAAATTTTACTTGATCTGAGTTTTGTGGTAATAGTATTGTGTATAAGTCACATAACATTTGGTTGAGGCAAACTTAAGTCAGCAATTTTTCCATTTGTAAACAGGCATCTCTCTAGAACGGTAAAAGTGAAACCACCAAAATTCAAACTTTATCGGTATTTTGTGGTAATAAGCATTGTGTATAAGTTTCATAATATTTGGTTGAGGCAAACTAAAGTTAGAGAATGGAAACGAAAATTTTTATGTTTATAAAGGGACATAACTCAAGAACAGTAAAAGTGATGCCACCCAATTTCAAACTTGATCTGTAGTATATGGTAATAAGCATTGTGTATAAGTTTCATTACATTTGGTTGAGGCAAACTAAAGATAGAGAACAGAAACGAAAAATTCAGCAATTTTTATGTTTTTAAAGGGGCATAACTCAAGAACAGTAAAAGTGATGCCACCAAATTTCGAACTTGATCTGTATTATGTGGTAATAAGCATTGTGTATAAGTTTCATAACATTTGGTTGAGGCAAACTAAAGTTCGAGAACAGAAATGAAAAATTCAGCAATTTTTATGTTTATAAAGGGGCATAACTAAAGAACTGTAATAGTGATGCCACCCAATTTCAAACTTTACCTGTATTATGCGGTAATAAGCATTGTGCATAAGTTTCATAACATTTGGTTGAGGCAAACTAAAGTAAGAGAACGGAAATGAAAAATTCATCAATTTTTCCAAATGTAAAGGGGCATATGTCTAGAATGATTATAGTGACGCCACCAAAATTCAAACTTGATCTGTGTTTTGTGGTAATAGGCATTGTGTATAAGTTTCATAACATTTGGTTGAGGCAAACTAAAGTTAAAGGAGAAAAAAATTCAGCAATTTTTCCAAATGTAAAGGGGCATAACTCTAGAACGATTATATTGACGCCACCAAAATTCAAACTTGATCTGTGTTTTGTGGTAATAAGCATTGTGTATAAGTTTCATAACATTTGGTTGAGGCAAACTAAAGTTAGAGAACGGAAACCAACTTTGGGATGTACAGACAGACGGACAAGGGTAAAACTTTTAAATGCCCCCTCCACTACAGCGGGGGCATAAAAATGACCTAAAATGTAACTAGAATATTTCTTTGACACATAATTAAGATTTCTGAGTGCCAAACTTCATCATAGAAATAATTGAGATACTTACCAAAGCTGACAACTAGCTGTCAGCTATCAAGCACAGTATTTATGATAAAGTTTTACTCTACTGATTTTTTTTCCATTTCTTGGAAATAAAAGCGTATTAAATCCAGTCATGTGGGTGTATGAGGAATTGCAGTGACAAAACCTCCGTGTGCAACAATGTGCATATATTTGCTAAAAATTTATGGC